GCAGTTACGTGCTTTCCTTCCACTTACGACGATCAAATATTAACGCGATTAAAGCGAGAAACTTTCGTGGCTAACCGAATAACTAGGCGAGCCAACGGGGCTGCGCGAGTCCCGCTCCCCGATAGCTAATAACGGCCATCGCGGCTGCCAGTGTCTCCCCTATTCTTTTCCTCCCCCGAACCATGGTGTTCGACGAGAAAGGGAGGAAGAAATTCATTTCTTCGCGTTTCTATTTCAACTCGAGCAGGCCCGCTACCGAAAGCAACAATGGTCGCCGGGGACAAAGGGAGTATCAATCGCGAACGTCAAAGGAACGGGACTGTAAAATGCGCCGCAACCCCCCGCCGCGCCGGCTGAGAACCGTCATGATGAATTTCTAATCCTTGGAGTTCCCTCGACGGCAGCCGCGAATCGTCCAATCGCGGGAGAACGAGGATGAGAAACGTCGGAGTATATACTTATTCGTGAAAAGGGTGACACGTCCTTATTGAAAAGAATCCGGGCCCTCCTCGGGGGAAGGTGGATTTCGGTAACCAATAACTCGGATTTCGCTCTTATTCCGCGGAAATAATCCCGGCATCGATTCTCCCTTTCCTTGCCGATCTTTTAGCCCATTTCCGAGGCTCGGGCTTCCTCCAGACGTTCGAATCGTTGGAATAGAATACGGGATCACGCGTCGAATTCGAGGGGCGTTTAAGCTCGATTAAAGGCCGGGAACACGCGATCGAGTAACGGAAGGGTGTTTACCCAGGCTCGCTGGTAACGTCGTATTTTCGAGGGAAAAAGGAAGAGAGAGATAGTTGTTTTCTCCGCGAACGGCAGTGTTCGTCGTTTAATCACTGGCGCGCACGATTCAATTAAGGGCATTCTGAAAAATGTAATTTTTTCCCGCGAGACATATTCGCGAAAGAGGATCAGGCAAGCCGGGTGACGGAATGCAATTATTTAGAGGGTACGAGAGATATAATCGTTTTCTCGGCTTCGCGCTGACGCCGTGCTTAAAGAGGGCACGATTTGCCCGAATCTAGATGAAAAGAAGCAACGGGACGGTAGCTAGAAAGAAATTTAATTGGGTCGGACAAAACGTGGCCACCGGCATTTCGGTACACGACCAGCCAGCTTGCGTCTGCCATTTTCGGCTCCGTTGAACTTAATTGAGGCAGTCTCGTGGATCCAGCTCTCGTGCACTCGCGCTCTGCACTCGACGCGCATCGCAAAGCAAAGCTATAACGCCGGCTTTTCTGACCTGTAGAACACGCTACTGAAATCCACGTGATTTTCCACCCCTCGAAACAGGATAATTGACTTAAACACTCCGCGAATCGCGCAACAATCGCCTCGAAGGGTGAAAGCGATCGATCACGAGGCGGAGAACTCGTTCGGGAGAAGAAACGGATTGAATGCGGGGTATAAAGCTCGATGAACTCGAACGAGGGATAGATCCATCGCGTAAAGAAAAAGAACGGACCACGTCGAATCGCTCTGTGTACCTTCGAACCCTCGAAATCCACCGATCTCCCGGCTTCGCGTCGTTACCCCGATTTCTCCTATTTTCCGCTATTTATTTCCTCGTTTCCGTTCCGCGCAACCGACCGCGCGATCGACCGACGTTAAATCAACGATTCGTAATTGAAATCATAAATGGCAGCGACCGTTCCTTTGTCCGAAACGAGAACATCGAACGAGAATGGCGTCGTTCCGTCGCGCGATGGTCGCCGATTTCTCCGGATCCTCCGAATATTTATCTCCCACGGGGATTCACGACTCGCGAGTGACCCGACACGATTGCCTTAATTTACCGCCCGAGATTCGTGAATTTTTCAAAGCAACCAGATGGACGCGGAATAGCGATTTCGGCCAGCTTCGCTCGGACCGTTTTCTTCCGGCCGGCCAACAGGCGTATATCGCTTTACTCAAACGGACGTTACTATTCATGATTTCATGAATTTTCGTTCTCGCGCGGTGCTCGAGGTTGCTCGTTACTTCGCGGCGCGGAGCAACTGCGAAGGGGTGCGTGAGAAGGCTCGTTCTCTTCTTCCGCTCCCGAGGGGGGGGAGAAAACGAGATGAATTTTTCATTAAGAAAGCCGTGAGTGTAAACGCACGGCTCGTGGAGAGAGAAAAGGAGGAGAGATGAGAGAGAAATGGGAAAAAAAATTCCGTAGCCGTGAACCGTAAAATTCGCCGTGGAAAGGAAGCAAGGATGAGGCGGCGGTGGCCCACTAACGTTTGACGTCACCGCGAGACTTCGTCTCTCCCTTTCCGCCCGTTTCTCTCTTGGCAAGAATGGAAGCAGCGTGACCAGGTGACCGATAATACGAACGGTCGGGAACGCGGAGAAATGCGCGGTTTCAAGGATGCGGAAGAATCGAGCTCATCGTTCCGCTAACTAATCATCCGATGAATTTCTCCGGAGGAACTTATTTTCGAACCGCGAAACGCTCGTAAATCAAAGATGAACGCGAGCGGAAGCGGCAAAAATGCTTGGGATCGATGCGAGTTTCGAGTCTTGGCCAAAATTACTCGCGTCGCGTGTTTGCGTGATAACGCTTAACGCTCGCTTCCTCGACTTTCCGTCGTCTTTCAATCCCTTTAGCCGAGCACGAGTGAAAGGAAGGAAGGAAGAAAGCGGCCCCCGACCGTCGTGGTGTCAGGCATTCGAGACCGCCTCGCGCAACGGCCGCCGTGAAAGCCGCAGGAGAAAAAGGGAAACACGGCCAACGACCGCGAAAAAGGGAAGATTAAACGGTTACCGTTGAAAGATCGAAGTTTACGCGCGCTAATCGTTCCGCGGGAAACTCGGAGCGTGTACGTGCCCTCCGCGGACTCGCAGCCGCGCCTCGTCGAAAGAGGAGGAGGGTTCGAGCGGAGAATTTAATTCGAGGAAGACGTAAAACATTAGCGGCAAACGTGTGCGGAAATTCGTAACAATCCAGACGGAGAGGGAATTACGACTGCGGGACAAACCCGATTCCGGCTGCTACCTGACTATCACGTGTATCCCCAAGAGGGTTCGTTACTTCTGCACTCGAAACGGCAAATGGCGGCTAGCTGAGCAGAAGGTGAGGGGCGAAACGCGATACCGGGTATTACCAGGGGGTGCAGCAATGTACTAGACTGCAGATCTAGGCGGTTTCATCGCAGTCCCACCCGTGGCGATTCTGATAAACTCCAAAATAACACTGGCTCTGTCCTAAGATTCGCTTTGATACCCACTCGTGCGTCGCGTCCGGATCCGCGATCGAGACGAGAAGTATACTAATGTGGGAATGGCTAGCGTGGCGTGTTTAGGGTACAATGTCACCGCCTGTCACAGTACCTTTGGGTGGGTATGACTGTAGAGTGCATGGGAACGCTTGGACCGTTCCTCGAAAATAGAGGATAATACAGTACAAGTTGTACATGCGAAGAGTGGAAGCCTAGGAATACGCGTGAGTGTTTAGGGTACGTTATCCATCGAGGGAGAAGATGTGAGTAGCGCACGATTGAGAAAGAGAGCACGTGTATGAAAGAAGACAGAATGCAAGGTTTAACCCTTTGCGGACTAGCGCCGGGTATATCCGTTCTGCGCAAACCATCGATTTGATCGGGGAACTCATATATGCGTTTGACGAAAACAGCTGATAGAATCGAAAGACCCGTATATGTGTCTCACGTAAATATGCCTAAAATTTGACATCTTGGAGTGCTATCCAAAATAGCGACTAAGCAATCTTCGAACTGTTCTGTCTACAAAGAGTTAAATAAGAGTGTAAGCTCGAGGAAGGAAACAGTTTTTGACAGATAGCTAGCCAGAGTCAGTGTGAGAGTCCTTAGCACTTACAAAAAGTTTAGAATCAGTTCAGAATAAATCTTCTTATATTTACCACTGTTAGTAAGCTGCCTTCTCAACATCCCTACACTAATCTCCGCTCCGTGCGAGGAATTCGAATTATCGTAGGTCAAAGGTCTTCGTCGAATGAAAAGAATCGACGAATCTGTCCGTTGCGACGATTAATAGGTAAATGAATACGCCTGGTTGTTAATTCAAATGCAAATGGGAGACCAGGTCGGTCTCCGGTGACGATGGAGTTATTTCACGGAATCAAACGAGCCCTGTTGAGGGGCAGCATCCCATTTTATTCCAGCGAGCTTGAAGGAGACCGTGGAGTAAATTAAATTGAATTAAATTCTAACGCGCGTGTAATACACGCGCTCGTATTTCACGTTCTAGGCCGCGTGCACGTCACTTTTAAGCGGAACGTCGCCGTTCGCATTGTAGAACAGCGTAACCCAGTTCTAGCGTACGCGTATCGCTCGTACGGCAGCGTGACCGTAAAAGTTATTACACGGAAAGGACGTAACCCACCCTCTGCTTCGCGGGCTGACAGGATCGAAAGTTTCACCGGAATATGGAAATCGCGTTCATTCACGAATCGGTTTTACCCAGGTCCCGTAGATCCAGTCCCCGACTGCGAAGAAACTCGGAAAAAATCAAGCGTACTGTCGCGTAATCCCATATTTTGTCAAATTGAGCGAGCAACTTTTTTCCCAGCCGACGAAAGTTATCCCGGTAAATTTATTCCCTTTGAACCCCCTGAACGCGAGATGAATCCCCAACGCTCTTTTGCCCATCACCGTCTCCCGTAACGAACGCAATCGCACGAAACTTGAAATGCTTTGCGCGATTGAAAGTTCGTTCAGCGTCCTCCTAGTTGTCGAGACAATATATTTACGTTAATCCCACTGCAGTAAAAAATTTCCTATTACTCGCTGGTGAACCGTGCAAAGCCAAAGGGAAATGCCGAATTTTTACCAAGATTCCAATATTCTGCCTTACGTTCTGGTACGCGCTCGAATAGCCGGACAGTTGTGCCGTGCACGCCAACTGGTCCACCAGCTCTGAACGACGAAACACATTCGAGCGACAAATTACTACGATTAGCCGCGAAGAAACAAAAGGAAGGAAAAACCATTGCGCGACAAAGTGGCCACTCAACGTTCCATCCATTTCTGTTTCAGCTTTCAGAGGACATCGGCTACGTCGTTTATTCCGCGCTCGGCAGCTTCTACATCCCGTCGTGCATCATGGTGTTCGTGTACATACGCATTTACTTCGCGGCGAAGGCCCGCGCGCGACGCGGCATCCGGAAGCAGCCGCGTCCTCGCGCGGTCATACCACCCGAGTCGCCGGATGTCAGACAGACCAGCTTCACGCAGAGCACGCCGGCCACCGAAACGAAGAAGCCACCCGGTTCGGTGATGGAGAACGTCGCCACTATCGAGAACCAGCCGGTTCAAATACCCATCGTCACCTGCGACTTTGCCAGCGATGTCAGTACTTCCGAGGCGGATCCTGGGGGAGGAAGCAGCATCCCCATGGAAGAAAAGGACACGCTGAAGGTTAATCCCTTAACGTTTTCACTGTCACGTTGGTCACGGTTTCTCCTGTCACGTCACGGTGGTCATTGATGATGGGAGCGCTTGAACTACTTGCAATTGTAAAAATTGAACGAAAATTGACAGTTAGTCGATTGTCAACCGTTACCAAGGCGTCACGGTGGGCACCCATGATCGCCAATAAGACAAACATTATACGAATAATAATATTACTCTCGTGGCGTCCTGAGCCAAGAGTGGAGGAGACTCCTCTCTCCGAGTTTGGCCCTCTAAAGGGTCACCCTCGCGGGGAAAAACAGACTACTGTGCGTTCCAGGAAAGAAGTCATCTCGTTCGGTTGCGTGGCAAGGGGGGTATTCCACTTGCTCCGCCTATACTCTCGTTAGTAATACCCACTCTTCTATGACACTGTCGAAACTGCTATCTCCAAGTTCGGTAACGTGACACGTTAATATAGGCGTAAGATATCCGCGAAAGAAATGTTATCTCAGAAGTAACTTGCAACGAATTGGAAGCACTACTACGCTTTGGGATGAGTCTACGCTCTTGCATCTATTTTTGCGTCTGTCTCACTTTGTCTCGTTGCTTTGTTCGCTTTCTTTGTCACACGGTGTTCTATGACCGGGCTAATAGGAAAGGATCAATTCTACCAATAAGGGAAGCGCTTTACTCTACTTCTGCCACGATGTTAGAATGATTGGGCTGGTGGGGATTCGGTCCTACAAGTTTCTCAGATGACTTCTTTCCTGCAACGCAGAGTACCTCGCGTGGCCTGGCCCCGACCTCCTACGGTCCATCTGGCCAGATCAGCCAGATCCTAACGAGTCCTCTAGACCTGGCGAAGTGTTCCCTGCAGAAACGCTTCGACCATCGCACCTCGATAAATTTTAAAAAACATCCTACACATAGGTCGCGTTACTTTTGCATTGCTCCACGGCAAGGGTGTACTTCCGATGAGAATGTTCCGCCTCCTAAAACGCGTACCCAGTATTCGAGAACTGACATGGGACACGGCGTTCCGTGGGTTTAACGATGTTACCCTCTTCCACGACTCGCCGCGAGTCCGGCCATCTATCACGCTCGAGTTACGAGCACGCATTTCGAATTCTACGGGTACTTTAACGCGCGTACTCGTACCTGAAGTCGAGCAGACATTATCCTTCGTTACGACGGAACTGGAAGTGACCCGTGTTACGAGCTCGTTCAAATGTATTCCGATTCGAGCCGTTCCCTCCGGGCATCCTCTCTTATTTTCCCTGAATTTTCCGCACTCGGTAGCGAAACGTCAAACATCTCTGGCGAACGTCTTTTTCTAAGCGTAGCAGATTCCCCGGGATCGAATAGCTCGAGACACGAAAGACACCTGTCTCCACGCGCGCATCCCGAATGCACTTACCCAATAACTCGGGTTTCGTGGTCGGGATGCGAATACATCCTGTTTGGCGATACAACGACGCAGTCCTCGAGATTCGCCAGGCAGCGGCGCGGCGCATAAAAGTGGAGCCAGTAAATCTCCGAAAGCAGAAATTCGCTATTGGATTTCAGTTTCCTCGCACGACTGTTTCCTCGTACAAACAGAATCGAATAAAGGTGCCGCGAATCGGGGCCACGGTGCTTTATCGCTCTGGTATGGAGATCGAATCGATCACGCGCGATGCTCGAAACGACTACCGCCGATCGTCGTGAG